ACACGAAAATGCGTTTAATCCCCACCTTTTATGGATAAGCATAAATTCCCAAACATGTGATACTAAAACATGTATATAAGGGGTTATATCTGATGATCGATAAAGTCCTTGTTCTAAAATAGTATTAGTTTTGGAATCTATTACCGTTTTTTTCAAAAATAATTCACACCATACTTTTGCTTTTAAACGAAAATATTGTGGATCTGTTGTTTTTTCTCCTAAAAGATCATATAATTCAGCAAATCCATACCACAAACTTTTAATTAATGCGGCTCGTTCTGGATCAAAAAGTTTTGTCAAATTAAAATTTCGAAGAACACAAAGCTTATCATCACCCATTAAGAAAGTGTAATTCCAATTATTAGTACCATGAATATTCCAAAACTCAAACCTGATTTTTAAATTTTCCATCTCCTTAATTATAATATTCCGAGTTATGTCATTAAATAATCCCTCATTTTTGATTTCTTGTAAAACTAACTCCCATAAACGGTCAGTAATACGTAACATTATATGAAGTTTATCTGGAACATGATTTTTAAGTGAAATCATATTGAAAAGTGGAGGTAATTTATGACCAGGGTATGCTGTTGGATTTTCATTTAAACTACTCATTGATTTACTAATTGTCCAGTCATTTTGCCCATTTCCACGTTGATTTTTTGTTATTTCACACCATAGGCAAAAATTATTGGAATTTGCAGCATTAAAACCTAAACAAGTAGCAAGAAATTTCCAATCTGAGCTAAAAAAAAACTCAAAATTCCAAAGAGTATTATTGATAACTATTCCTACATTACTCAGTTCTTGCAATTCCTGAGTAAGAGCATTTGCTGCAACTTTTAGAGTTGGATAATTTTAACTTACCGGAAATAAGATAGTTGTATAATGGTAATTGGGCTTACAAATGTTTATTGAATCATCCAATAGTGCTATGGTAATCATCACAAGCTTCACCTTTCGTCCTACATTCAGCCCATCACCAGATATTCGAAGATGAATAGTTGGTATTGCAGGATCTAATATTCCCTTTTCAACATATGATGGTATTATATACTCAAGAATTTTTTTAACAATTCGGTAAGCACCTTTTCCAGTTGCATTAATAACTTGATCAATAATTAATGGATCAGTTATATCAGATTCTTCTGAAAATCCTTCTTGCATAATGGTAGAATTTAATTAATGGGTATTAATTCTTCCATATATGCATTAATCTCTTGACGAGTTTGAGAAATAGCATATTCTCGTGGTAATATTGATTCTACAGCTGCAAGATGACGATATGCATCACGAGGTATATTTTCTACGTCTTGTACATATGCAATTGATTGCAATTTTTGTTTTTTTTTAACATAATTCTCATCACCAAATGTTACATGGTATTCTTTATTTTCTACAGTAAAATCTATAGCCTTTAAAACTACACGATCTTTGGGATTGTAAAAATCTTTAATTGTATTTTCAAAGTGCAACTGTTCTTTTTTTGCAAGACCTTTTGCATGCTTAATTTGTGTAGTTTTGCTTGATTCTTTATGAAGTTTCAATTCACGTGGTCTACCTTTGCAATTTCTATTAATGCATTTTAATTGAAGTCCAAAAAGATGAACTCCAGAAACAGCAGTTCTCCTATCCGGTGTTATAATCTAATAAAGTATGTATATATTAGAAGCATCAAATGGTGATTGAGCTGAAAAAACTTGATATTGTAAATTATCTCTAAAACAAATTAAGTAATGAGGTTTTTCTTCTACATAGTAAATAGAACATTGAATAGTACGGCTGTTATTAGCCTGACACCAGGTAGTTTTAATAGTATAATTATCAGGTATAGGAAAATAATTAGGCGCTTCAGTATAATTCACAGCCGGTGGGTAGATACCTTCTTGAATGACAATATAAACAAATTTTCGGTCACCATAGTATATTATTTCAGGTGAAATAGGGTAATTTTTTTCTTTATAAGGTCTTTGCTGATTAGAATTTGACATTTAGAAAGTAACAGTTTTTTTGATACGTTAAAAAAAATTAACATGATATAAAAAATTGTACAACAGATCTACAAAAATGTGATAAGTACGGTAATTAAAATTCAGTACGAGTCTCAATATCATATTTCTTTACTGCTATAAAAGAAAAATCGAAATAATATATAAAAAATTTTGTGTCATTGGTGTTACCATAATGTCAGGTGATTTGACTATCATTATGATTGGTTTACAAAATTTGAGGTTATCTCAAAAATTTAGGGTTAGGGTATAGATTAGCGCATATGTTTCTCCTTATAATCACACCTTTGGGAAACTACAATTTATATACTTATTATATAAAAAAACCTTTATATAATTACATTATAGTAAAAACTTCTATATAGTTACCAATTTTTATAGAACTGATTAAATAACTATATAGAGATCTAACTGTACTAATAATAATATATAAAAAGTAAATTATAAAACTGGTTATTAATTAAACTTACTATATATTTAAATATATATAATGATTTAAATAATTAATATAATGTATATTAAATTGTATAATTGCAAAACTGGTTAAATTTATATTAAATTATATAATTTATTATAATAAATGGTAAACTTTATTAATTACTATGTAAAAATATGTCTAAACCTTTTACAGTTTTATCAGTTTTGTCAGTTTCGCAGTTTCACAAATTTTTAATTTTTTAATAAAATGTTTCAACTAGTTTCGATTTTAACAATTGTCTAAACTACTTAGTTTCGCCCAGCAACCTTAGAAAATCCAATTCAAAAACTGAACTTGGATTTTATGGAATTGATCAAAAAAAGAATACTCGTCTTAGTAATGATGAGATCAATATACGTATTGCAGAAGCTTTTGCAGAAGATGACGATAAGGAATATAATGAGGAGCAAGCTTCTACTCAGAGATTAACTACAAGCGGCAAAACAATACCTGAAGACAATTGCCGTGTAGTAATCAAAAGTCTATGGATTGATCAATTTGTTAATTTATCGCATGATTCAATTACTAGTGAAATCGGCGATATTCCAAGAGATATATTGGATGATTCAGATGAAAATAATGCAGAAGATGATGAAGTTGATGATAGTAGTAATAACAAGAGAGCTGGGGAAGGTGACTATGATTATGATATAGATGATGTATTAGGTATAGATGATGGTGATAATAATGACAATAATTATGATGATAATGAGGAATAATAATAATGAGAAATAATTACAATAGTTAATCCAATGAAAATTAATTCTAATATCATGTGATTTAAATAATGATACTATTTAGGAAATAAATGATGTAATTATGCAGAGCAAAATATTTGCGATCAAAGTCCAGTTAATATATAATTATGCAGGCAATTGTAATTTTATATTATATTTTAAAACATTGCAATTTAATTAAGGAATAAGGATAAGCATATTATATTTTAAAAATAGTGCAATTTAATTAAAAAATAAGAATAAGAATATTATATTAAAATCAATAAGTTTTAAGGACTTCGTTAATTAAATTTATTACATTAGATCAATAAATTTTAAGAACTGCGTTACAAAAAAAAATTTAGAACTGCGTTAATTAAATTTATTACATTAGAATCAAAACTATGTTTATTTTGTTATAAATACTTTAATTATGTAGAATGTTATTATATTCATCAGTTCATATTTTAAACATTATAACGAATTTTAAAATTAGTATAAATATTATGAAATTTGAAGTATATAGGATTTTTTTTTCGCAATTCAAAACCAAATTGTATTTTAATTTTCAAATTGTATTTAATTTTCAAGTTATGAAAAAATCATAAAAATAAAAAATGGTAGCATTAGTACCTTTTATTCCATCACCACCACCAGCATTCCAATTAACAATTAACGCTGCTAGGCAATTAATCGCTGAGCAAAGAAATTTACATCAGCAATTCAAAAGAATTGCAAACTGTCACCATGTAAATATATGGACAATAATAGCAAATAGAGTGTTCGCTGCAACCGGATTTGCAGCGACATCCAGGCAATGCTCTACAAAATGGAATACCCTCAAACGTGGTTATGAAAATCTCAGTAGGATAATAAATAATAATGATGACGACATTCTTATTATAAGCCCAAATAGTTTCAATAGAGCGTGTTTTGCTAATATGAACGATGAATTTTGGCTACAAACTGGTAATTATTATTAATTATTATTTTAAATTAATTTTATTTAGGCAATTCATTCAATTCATTAATATTTTTATTGGATTTTAGATCTGTTTAGACGAGAGTATCGATGGCGGCATGCTGCGCATAATTGACATCGATATGAATATAGATTGTGAAGGGAAAGAAGGAGGTCGCAATCTAGGTCTTGATCAAAAAGTAGAGATAGAAGTAGAGATAGAAGACGAGACAGAAGTAGAGATAGAAGATGAGATAGAAGTAGAAATAGAAGAAGAGGTAGAAGCAGGTTCCCACATAGAAGATAAAGATATTAAATTTTAATTTTTATTATATTTTTAATCGTATATTTTATTAGTTTAATATTAAATATTATAAAATAAATATTTATATACAAAAAATTATATTGTCTTTATTTTTATAAATTGTTTAAATGCCATAACTCTAATTGAATCATATAGAAAGTATTGCCGAAACACCAAAACAGTTTCGGCAAGTTACGGCAGTTTCATGATTTTGATAGGTTTCGCAGTTTCAGCATTTCTTGATGATTTTGTGAAACTAGTTTCGGCAGTTTCGCATACGCCATTCTGCTGAAACCCTCTAATTTTGGCAAGCAACCTTATTCATCATTACCAAAATCATTGAACTTAGGGATAATGAAAAGTTTGTGAGAATGACAGCTTTAAAAAAAAAATACAAATATATTCTCAACTTTGACAATGCACCCTTATTCTTTGGCCTGGAATTCTCATATGACTAAATTATTGTTGTTTGTAATTTGATCTATTGAATCCACCATAAATTGCCAGGTAAAGCAAATTTTTATTAGACAACCATAGCTTCATCAACAAACGTTGCAATGTGTTTGGACGAATGACAACTTGTTTAATAAGTTTTAAATGGGCAAACGTGGTCCTAAAACCCATTACAAGATAGGCTGCAAGAAGTGCAAAGCAACCTACCTAACCCATGAGTGGGTCTAAGAGTTAGGGAATCAATTATATGCCAAACACACACAAGTTGGTATGGAGTTAAAGTCTTACAAACTAAAAATTATTTTTGCCACTTAATTCTCCAATAATCAATGTTATAAAAAAGTTACTTACGACTTAAGCCTACTTAATTATATATAAAATGACACTTCAAACAGACAGAGCTCATGATATATGAGAATATCCCATCATGCCTATTTTAACCTTTGATTAAAGGATTTTCATTACACTATCAAACTGATTATATAAGTTTTACGCTTATATAACATAAGCTTATACTTATATAATCAATCAAACAAGTCCGCCTTTTTTTATAACACACTATGCATGACGGCAAACGGTATAAGAGGTAGACTCTACTTTTCAGAAAGAAAGTTTTTTTAAAAAAAAAAAAAATGTACAAAATAAATAGTCTTAAATAAAATAGTGGTTAAATTGACTTTTTAGAAATTAATAGGCCTTATAGCCTTTATAATATACGCAATCATTTAATATACACGATTATCTAATCAGACAATTTATTAAATTTGGTATTACACAAACTTGATCAACCTGATAATTGTTTAGTCTCTTTATAGGTGGATATTTCTTAAATTATCACCTGAAATTTTCAATTTTTTGCAGAATAGAAAATGGAAAAAGGAAAAGTATTCTGATTCAGAATTTTTTTTTAAAAAATGTGTTTGTTATTTTGTAAATTACCAGTCAGAATTGGCTTAAACTTTAAAGTTCTTACTTTATGCAAATGTTATGCAAATGTATTTTTTTTTGATTTGTATAAGAACGTCAAATATAATAACCATTCCATTTTTAACAAAATAACAATTACTTTTTAAACTTGAAAATGTTATATTTTAGACAAACATTTTATAGTTTTATACATCCATTTTATTTTATATTATTATCACTCGACATTATGGTATAATGTTTAGTTTCATATTATCATTTACTTGTAAAAATTTACTAAATTTATTCAATGTAATATCATTATAAAATGCATAATTTTATAAAAAAAATTAGAGTGTTTGCTAAGATTTATAACTATGTATAATTTAATATTATTATTAATAACTATAATTAAAGGATATGAAGTATCAGTATAAATAAAATAACTTACCGATAAAGAATCAACGATCTTATTTCCGCTCCTAGAAGGTATCATTAATTCTTTGGTTATATTATCTAATTCTTTAATGGTGGACAAATTTTTCCATTTCACATAACCCTAAAGGTTTCTCTTACGAAATTAACCAAAATATCGAACCCTCCATTTCTTGTTAATTCTGAAATATTAACAGCTACAAGCTGTCAGCTTAGAATCTTTTGGACAAATTCTTCATCAACGTAATCTATAAGTTCCTTTTGAGATAAACTTCCAGTAGATGCTCTATAATTAAATTAATAATTAATACAAAACTATTTGGTTAGCTACAAAACAATTAAATAAATACCTGTTTTTTCGTATTTCTTTAAATTTTTCTACAAAGGTTAAAATAATTTAATTAAACTTGTTTCTGAAATCTATAAAAAATTTTCAGGTTTTTTCGAGATAGCTTTTAGCTTCGTTTGAGTGTATTTTAATTTTGAAAATTTTTGTTATCAATCCATCAAAAACTTCACCACGTGGACTTCTCGCACATAAAAAAAGACACTTGACACTTTCGTCCTATGGACGAATTTTATCCTAAAATATTAAAAATACATTATTTAAAAGATTTAAACATAATAAATATTATCATATTAATTTAATACTTACGTCTATAATTTTACTGGATGATGAAATAGCAACATCCGTTTTGTTCATTTTTAGTGCCAATCTTAAAATTTCCAGATGGTTGACGAGCCAAGCAACTATTTCTAAATTTGACTTTGATTGAAATACTTCGGGGTTTTTATGATCTTCCGTCTTACCCACATCATCCTTATCATCATCATTACTACTTTTTTCACTTACTACTACAACTTCTTTATCAGCAGATTTGGCAGCTTCTTTATTACTATGGTTTTTACTTTTTTTTATCAACTGATTGGCCTTCTCAATGTTAATATCTCTTCTTTTTTTCATAATTTATTTTTTTTTGATCCTATTATACATATTTTTGGTATTTATTAATTATTCTTTTTACATATAACTATATAAGCAAAACTTACAAGAGAGTTATATCTACATACCTTCTTCAACTTCTATTTCTTGATTATCATCAGACGATTTATTAGGTGATTTATGTTTAGTCGTCATAATATAAAAAAAAAATATAAGCGAAAAAAAAAGTGGAAAACCTTTTTGTTTAAAAGTAGGTCATATATATTGAGAAAATATAAATAAACAAAAAAAGTAAAGCAACTTTCTTGCTCAAAAAAGTAGGTGATAAATATCGAATGAACAAAAAAAAAAGGGTGAGGTTATCATGATATAAATTTGAGATTTTAGTTATTGTAATTATGATTGTAGTATTTAATTGGAAAATATACATGATCTCAATGTCATTATGTATCTTGTAAAATGCAGGATCAGTTAAAAATATCAGGAGATGGGAAAACTAAAAATTATGATTTCTAGAAGATTGAAAATTAAATTTAATTTATATAAATAATTTGTATTTCATTTAATAATAAAAGTGAATACTGGACACTTTTTTTATATAGAAGATTACTTCAAATCAAATTTTTACAGTTCAAATCTTTATTATCTGTTATTGCGTATTTACGATTCAATTTTATAAATTTTATAATAATTTTTTTAGGCCATATAAGAAGTGAGAAGAAAAATATTAGAAGAAAGGAGTGAGAAGAAATTAATCATATGAAGTATCATTTTATGTGATACAATAATATACACCAAACTCAAAAAGTATAGCCATTATAGCTACTATTATCGTTCAGCAATGCAGATTATCGATAATTGCATTAAATTATATAATATTAATGATATTATTGCATAAGATATTTCCAAATAACCCAATCAAACCTTTTTACTCATATGTGACTGATTACTAAATTTGCGAAAAGACAAGGCAACTCCTTAACATATGATTTTTTGTATATTATTGTACAATTATGAAAAGAAAGTTGTGATTCAATAATAGCAGTCTATAGAATATTATGTAAAGCTACAAAATTTAAGTAAACAAATTTACATTTCAATAGTACCTTTAAATAGAAATTTATAAACTTAACTGCTAAAGGAAGAGAAATTTTTTAAACAATAAATGGATAAAACATAGTACAGTTTGATGGTTGCTAAAATACTCTCAAAATAATTTTCATGATTAATTGTGGAGGTTATAATTAAAATATTCCAATTGAAATAATACAGTGACAATCTGCTTATTTGCTTATTTAATGATTTGGCATATTTTATTATTTTATGTTTAATTTAAGCAGTAAAGTAAATAGTATATAAAATTTTTTCATAATTAATGAAAGATACATTTAAGGTTGCTTGTCTAAACCTCTTCAAAATCCTACGATTAGTTTCGTCAAAATTTTACTATAGATTTATTATAGTTTTGGCAGAGTTTCGGCAGTTTCGGCATTTATAATAAGTTTCGGCAGTTTCGCCTTTCTCCAAAGTTTTGCCAGTTTTTTAATATAACTTTAATATAGTTTCGGCAGAATTTCGCTTTTTGGCGAAATGCCATCTTGCCTAAACCCCTAGGTTTCGGCAAGCAACCTTAGATACATCGTTCAGAAAATAAAAAATTGAATGTTGTATAGCAATATAATATTAAGCAAAAAATTGAATGTTGTACAGCAATATAATATTAAGCAAAATTGAATGTTGTACAGACATCAATATAATAAAATACAGTCAACCCTTGTTATAACGAACCCTAGGTTCCAGACCTCAACTTCGCTATAAGGCTATAGTGAAGATTTTAAGAGATTTGATTGGTTAATTCATTATAGCAAGGGGAAATTTATTATAGTTGTCTGAAAAATTCACTATATCAAGGGTTCGCTATATCAAGGTTTGACTGTAGTAATTATGATTTGAAAGATTTACAATTTCATATGAAGTGAGGTGAGCGTAAACGGAGAGGCAAAATTATTCAATTTTAATGATTTCATAATATGAAGGTGAGCCTCGTAAACGGTAAGTTGTAGGTAATGAGTGATGGAGGAGAGGTGTAGGTGATGAGTGACGGAGAGGTGTAGGTGATGATGATGAATGTAAACGGAAAGGTGATATAGGTGAGCATATTGGTGAATGTAGTGGTGAGGATGACGGAGTTGTTGTATGGCTCGTTGTGTTGATTTCGTGAGCAATATCATAAATTGTTTTTAAATAAATAATCAGATTAATTTATGAATTAAATAAATAAAAAATAAAATATTTACATGGTTTTCCAATATTTACGTCATTTTTCCTAAAAACGTTCACTGAATTCCTCGTAGTACTTCGCTCCTAGAGCACTACTTCTTCCCTTTGGCTGACCATCAATATATAATTGCATTTTCTAATAAAATTATATTAGTACTATTTAATATACTAAAATAGTAGTTGAACCTGAAATAATATTTATATACTTTATAAGCTCGCACTAAGCTGTTAAATTTTTCTTTACATTGCCTCCCCGTATACGTAGTTCCAAATTCAAGGTTTATTTTGCTTGCTAGCTCTTTCCAAAAGTTATGCTTCATATTACCACTAAGTTCGTGAAAATTATCATTTTCATTTTTTCTTTCATTAATTAAAACTCGCAATTATCTATCAGTTCACATGTTATTAAAGAATTAATGAAATGAAAGAATTTTGTAAAAGGAGTGGGAAAATAAAAAAAAATCTGTAAAAAAAAAAAAATTTGTGTAAAAAAAAAAGTGTAAAAAAAATAAAATCAAATTATTACGCCTACAATCTATGAACACAATAAGAAATTGCAATGATGTGGAATAAATAGTTTAAACAAATTTGTTAAACAAATTTGGATAAGCCATGGGTATGCCGCAGGTATGTCATGGGTGTGTCGCAGATATCTTTATGGTAAATTAAAGCATTTACCGTGGGTAAGTCACAGGTCAATTTGAGGACTTACTATGGAATAATAAAGATGTTTTTATACACGTAATTATCTTTTATAGTGGTCAATTTAGAAGTTCAATCAGGGAAGTTTTACCACAACATTTATTTTATTTTGACAATGGCTTAAAATTAACAAAAATTGATTTAATTGGTCTGCTAATAACGATCATGGTGTTTAATGAATTCACTTCATTAGTTTTAAATACTTTTAATGTTCAAAAAATATAATCGTAAATTAAATATATAATCGTAAATTAAATCATACTTTATCTATTATTTTATTAAATCGTAAACTTTAATACTCTACTACTAAATTAACTAAATTATTATTTCGTGAGAGCATTTTCTATTTATTAAGTATAATTTTCAACCACTATTTTTTATAATCCTGCATATGAATTTACAGGTCAAAAACTTCGCAATTCAATTAGTTTAATTTTCGAGTTTTTTGACGGATTCGTGAGATTTAAGCAAGTATAAAATAAATTTTTTTATACTAATTGAATTTTTATGTATTGATAAAAAAATATGTGCTACTTGATTTTGTATACGATTGTGTTCCAAAACTTGACGATTGTGTTACTTTCAAAACTCCAATCAGAATCTATAGCAAATCGGTAATAATTTTAACTGAATTGATCTTGGGTTTTTTGGTTTTTTTATCGATATGCTAACAATATAAAAGGTATTAAGGGTATTAAGGTATTTAATAAATAATTTTTATAAAGATTTATTGAATTTTATAAAATTCTAAATTAAGTTAAAGATTTAAATTGTTAAAAGATGAGAAAACAATATAGCCACAACAAACCAATAGAATAAATTCGAATTCAAAATCAGTTTTCTTACAGCAAACTTAATAAGACAACAGATTCTGACGAAAGAGTGGCAATTCATTCGCCTGTATATTCATCTGATAATGATAACGATGACATGGACTTTCAGTATAATCATAAAGATGATTTAAGTTTTCAAGACATTAATGATGACAATAATGCATATGGATCAATTAATCCTCAAAACTACAATGATGAGATAATATTTTCGCAAGATAATGTCAATTCATCTAATACTGAAGAGGAAGAAGAAAGTGATAATGAATACAATTATGAAGAGGAGGAAGAGGAGGAAGATAATAATGAAAACAATGACGAAGAGGAGGAGAAGGAAGGTAACAATGATGATAATAATAATCAAGTGGAAGAGAAACATAATAACGATGAAGAGGAACATAATAATGAAGAGGAAGAAATAGATCAAATTGTTGAAGCGTTAGATGAAGACAAGTTACCGTTCTGCAATGGTGAATTTGCACTGTACTTTAATAATTATACAACTATGGCATTATTTTGCTGGCTTCAGAAGCATAATGTTTCTACAAAAGTATATGAAGATCTTGTCAATATCATTCACAATTCTCAATTTGAACCTATCCATGTGGTAAAAAATATCCGAAGATTCCAATCATGGAGAAAATGTCTTCCTCTCCTACCAATAATAACAAAGTCTATTAAAATTTCACCAAAAAAAACTCCATCAACCTCACAAGGATCAAAACTTTCATATCAACTCTCAATTAGTGAAATTATATGGCATGTTTTTAATAATCCGATGCTAATGAAGCATATGTATTTTGAACCTGGTATTAATTCTGAAGAAAAATCAGAATTTTGGCATGGAAATTTATGGAGGGAATCACCACTTTTTGGACAACACGAAATATTAATATCAGAAGGTTATAAAATAATACACTTTGATACAATTATAATTTATTATCATTGATAATATTTATTAAAGTTATTTTTAATAAATAGTATTGTACCGATCTGGTGATTTTGTTTACTATCATGATGATAATGGTCAAAAAAAACTTGAAAGATTAAGATCAATTTTAAAAAATGATGATGGATATTATCAGTTACGAATTCAAAAAATTTTGGAATATAGTGATTTACCTGGAAATTTAAAAGGGTTACCAGGACAACGTCATTCTATTACTGGTGAAGTATGGTTACAAGATGAACCATTTTTAATTATAATGACTTCTCAAATTTTAAAAAAAGTAACCATATTGATGATGTTTCAACATCAAAATATTCCTGATAGTTCATTGCGGATTAGTAAAATAATTTATAAATGTAATGACTGTTGGCACGTTCGTAATGTAAAGCTTTCATACCTACATCCATCTGATTACATTTCTATCAGAAATCCACCATCATCATTTATACCAATCTATAAGCTGTTTTTAGATCTTTATTATGATGATTTTGGTACATTTAGAAATGTATACCATTCTCTAGGTGGTGTTTATGTACAGTTTGGAAATATGCCAGCACATCAAAGAAAGCTAATAAAGAACCATTTTATTGTTATTGGGTTTATCTCATTTGGAGGAAAATTTGACGAATTTATGATACCATTCATTTCAGAAATGAAGGAATTAGAGAAAGGAAAGGTGATGACTGTCCAAGGATAAGATGTATGGATAATTGCTGGTTTAGGCGTTATTATGGCAAATTTACCTCAAGGTAATGATATGACAGGAGTACTAAGGTATTTTTTCAACTTAGTTAATAATATAATAATATAATTTTATGACAACTATTAAAATTTTTTAAAAAATAAATTTAGACATAATGCAAATAAGGGTTGTCGTACTTGTAAAACTACTAAAGAATCATTGAATGCTCACAATAAAGATATCGTAACAACATTACGTTATCATCATATTACAGACGAAGAAATCTTAAAAATTTCTCATGAGACTATAATGTCAAGAAGAGATCAACTTTGTACGGAATATGGTTTACGATCATTAACTAGTATTTTAGATAAATTAAAAAGGGAAAGACATTTACAGACGCCGCAGGATGTTTATCATGTGACTGCAGGAAAGATTGGGTGGCTACTAAAATTAACTTGTGAATTATTTTTACGAGAAGGAGAAGATACATATCCGCCGATTTGCAGAATTTGCTGATCATCAGTTATGTGGCGCAGTACCGATTAAAATCGATCAAAACCCGTTCCTACATAAGAAAAAATGTCAAAAAATATATAAAAAAACTTTTAAGACCTCTCCCAAAATATTTACCTCTTTAACCCAAAACCAGTAGAAGGAGTTTCTAGAAAAAAAAAGGAAAAAAATATTATAAAGTTAGTTTATTAGAAAAAACAAAAGAAAACTTTACAAAATTCAGAATATTTAATGATTTAACGAAAAAAAATTAACTGAAAAATAATTAATATTGTAATAATAAATATCAAATAGATTTTAATTAAACAACTGATCAATACATAATCTAAATTCGCTAAAACATCGTTATAAATATTTAGAGTTATTTATTTATTGAAAAGATTTTTTTTGAATAATTTTGCTTTCTAAATAAATTTTTTCTATAAACTATAAAAAAAAAATAAAAAAACAGCTCCAAGTTGTATCTAAAATAAAATAATTACAAATATACTTGCAAAAATTCTCAACTTACTTGATGTAAAAACTGTTTGAAAAGTTGATGGAGGAGTTGATGGGGAGTTTAATAGGAAGTTTATGAAAGAAAAAAATTTTTTTAACGCTACTTTTTGTTGAAGTAATTTCTTAATATCTGTCATATGATCATGTAGCACAAGTGTGATCATTTTTGCAAAACTTAATTTACCTAATTTTTATTAAATTATTGTCAAATTCCTTAATTTAGACAAATTTTGTTAATTCCGCAGATCGGCAGATATGAATTTTATCGAAATTTGGAAAAATTTTGAAATCCCAAAAAGATGGTCTCGCTTACCAAATCTGATTACTTACTACAATAGTTTTATGATGTTGGATTTACTTAGATTAGCTATGATTATACCATTTTTGTTAAACCAGTTTTTAAAAGAATCAAGTATTAAACGTAATGAAACAGCCATGATTCAACAAAGAATTGATGCATTTAGAGTTAGTTCAGTTCCAAAAATTATTATATCTTATTGGATACATGTTGCAAAAACTATAAAAGCGGTTTTTAACAAGAAATTTACATCAGATAGCTATGAGGAATTGCAACAATGTCTTGAAGAAGAGTTTTCAATCCTTCCAAAGGTATAGTTACAAATTTGATATTGAAATATGGAATAATTTCAAATAATTAACAATATTTTACTTTTTATAGGTTTTTGTAAATTTTGTTAATTTACCAAACATACACGTTAATATGCATCTTTTGATGCATGCTAAAACCTTTAGAACACTTATTAATACCCAAGTTGGTATAAAAGAAATGGTCAATCATATTTTTAAGGGGATGGTACCAAAAACTAATTGCAAAAACATAGATTTGGATTTATTAAAGCATTACAATACTTTATTTGCAATTCGACATTTAGCAGATGGTGGTATTGATCCAAGATTTAATAGATCTTGTACTGGATTTACAAATTCAAATTTTGGACAATTATTTTTAAATTGGTATGTTACAGAAGATAAATATTCAACTGAAGCAACTGAACAAGTTCAAGACGATGATGATGATACAAAAAGTAAGTATTTTATTGCATATAATAGTACATGTTTGATATTTATATTTACTAATCTTTTAATTTAGTTATATCTCCAGTAAACTTTATTTCCAATATTTCATTAAAAAAAAGAATGCCAAAGCAGGAACGTGATAAACTTCTTTTAACTTTACATAATTTTAAAACTGAATTGTTTTTATCTTATGTGGATATGAAGTTTGAGGCGGCACTTATAAACTCTTCAATTAGTTGGTACAAATTTGCATCATATATGATTGAAGAAGAAAATGGTATCCTTTCAAAAGTTCACCTACATTTTGATGATTTTATCACAATTTATGAAGAAGATCATGAAGAATCTTATGCAATAATCAAAAGTATATTTCAACATAAGGGTAACAATAACAAATATTAAGCATTTATTGTTGTAGATTGGTTTGAAGATACTATGGTTAAACATTCAGTATTAAAATGTCCACTTTACCGTCTTCAAGCAACAGGAGATAAATGGAGATGTATTTTTCCAATTACTGTAATAGATAATGTTCAAAAAGTACATTTTATTCATAATTGTAATTCAGAAAAGTGCAAACTACCAAAACATAATACTACAAATAGAATTTGGATAAAAAATAATTTTTATTTTACAGCCATATAATTATATTAATTATATAAATATAATAAAATAATTATTTTAATTTGTATCGTATAAAATTTTGGTTAAAATCAACCAATAAAATCATATACATGATGTAATAATAAATTAAAATTAACCAATTAAAATCACTTTAATTACATGCATGTGATATCTAAAAATAACTAAAATTCGCGTTTATTAATGAGATTTTTTTTTGTTTATTTTCAAAAATACGCTTTTTTCTTGTCTTTTATATTAACACTTTACGGTATTTTAGTTCATCTTTTTTTTCTCTTTTTAAAGTATACTTTAATTATCTTTTTACAATATTAACAATACTTTGGGACACTTTAGTTTATATATTCAACATAGTAAGACACCCACATACGAAAAGCAAGAATAAAAGCAAGAATAAAGAAAAGAAAATGTACCCACCATTTACATACGAAAGAAAAGAATAAAAGAAAGGAAAAATATACCCACCTACCCACGTACAAAAGAGAAAAAAGCCATTTTTTAAATAAATAGTGGAGCTGTTAAGCAAGGTATGAAAATAGGATATACGCGTATTTTTCATATTTTTTTACAATATGTTGTGGTTTGAGTATTTTTTTATTAGACTGTGGTATAAATGTAAATATATTTTTCAACGGCCATGTATCTATTGCTTGTTAAATATATTTGCAATTTCTTTATTAGACTGTGGTATTACAATATGAAGTGTGAATATATTTTTCAACGGCTATGTATCTATTGCTTGTTAAATATATTTGCAATTTCTTTTGTAATATTTGCTTTAGCCTAAAAGAAAATGTTGTAAAATAGGGCTGGATATTTATGGCATTTTCCGCCTTCCAATTACTTTATTCGGGGGTAGCCTGACAATTTGTCGTTGTCTGTCAGTCATAGCAACCAGCATTTTTTTTATACATGCTACCCAAATTATTTTGGGCTGCCGTAATTATAAGTAAAATCCCAAATTCAATTATGACATCTCAAATTATTTTAGCACTTTACATATATAGTAAATTATATATAAACTAAATAAATTACAGTATCCCAAATTATAATTATGGCATCCCAAAATAATTTGGACAGCATGTATAATTTTTTTACAATATTATGATTTTAAGAAATAAAACACTCTCAAAAAAATTTAAAGAAAGAACTAACTTAAAAATATTATCATTTTTATTATTCTTTACAAAATCCCAGAATTACCTGCTCTAACTATTATCCCAAGGTTATGTATTAAATTTTAAATATATTTTACAAAAAGTACATTTTATTAATCATGATTGTTTTTATATATATATATATATATATATTTTTTAAAATTGAAAATGACATATCTATCCACTCATATATGAAAAGAAAAGAATAAAAAAGAGAAGAAAAGAATAAAAAAAAAGGAAGAAAAGAAACGTATTCCACTCACTCATAATAATTCACTAATAAAAAATTATTATTATTAATATATAATAAATAATAAACATATATTACAATAAAAATATTTTTGTGATGTTAATTTGGTGTTAATATAATATCATTACAACGTTACGATATTAAAATAAATGTAAAACATTTTTTGTAATATTAATTCGATATTAATATGATATTATTATGATGTAGTTATGATATCAAATAAAATTGTAATATTAATTTAATGTTAATACGACATCACTACGTGATATCAAATAGATGTAAAATATTTTTGCAATATTAATTCAATGTTAATATGATATTACTACGATGTGATTATGATATCAAACAAAATGTCAAATATTTTTGCAATATTAATTCGATGTTAATATGATATCACTACGATATGGTTACGATATCAAATAAAATGTCAAATATTTTTGCAATATTAATTCAATGTTAATATGATATCACTACGATGTGGTTACGATATCAAATAAAATGTCAAATATTTTGTAATATTAATTCAATATTAATATGATATCACTACGATATGGTTACGATATCAAATAATGTCATATTTTTGTAATATTAATTCAATGTTAATATGACATTACTACGATGTGGTTACGTGATAATATTTACATCGCATAATGATCGCAGTGATATTGCAGAGATATCGAACTAATCAATGTCAAATAAATACAGTTATGACTAACTTAATGACGTCGAATCTATTTTTTATCAAAATATTGTAATGATATTGTAATGATATCATTGCGATATCTAATCAATATTGATTGTAAACTCCAAGTTTCAGCAAAAATGGCAGATAATACTATTGTAAATTTAGGAGCAGTATTTTATACAAATAATGAAGAAAGAGAATATTCAGTATATTCAAGTTTATTTCTCTAGTTATCATCAACTAGTGCAGAAATAGTAGCTATTTTCTTGGCATTACTGACAGCACCAGAAAATTCCAATGTAACTATATATATAGATAGCCTAGGTACTATTAATTCAATTAACTTAGCTTTTGATTCAACAACTAGAAAATAGCTCAAAAAAACTAATAATTTGATCATTATTAAAATAATTATGCAGATCAGAGAGACATCAATAAATATAAAGCTGATTAAAATAAAGAGACATAGTGGCTAGTGTTGTTATCGGCCCAGTTCGGTCTGACTTGAAGCTAAAGTCAAGCCACGCTGATAAAAAGTCAAGCTGAACCAAGCCGAACTGAATCGACTTGAAGTTATAAGTCGAACCAAACCGTAAAGCCAACGGCGGGCTGATGGAGTCGATGAAGTCGATGGAATCGATGGCAGGCTGATGGCGGGCCGATGGTCAATATAATGGCGGGCTGATGGGGGTCGATGGCGGGCCGATGGGGTCGATGGAGTTGATGGAATCGATATAATCAAATAAATCAATAAATTTATAACTAAATAATAAAAACACTTTAAATTTATTTTTATATTTAAAATTTAAACTTTATTTATTAATTTTATAAAATATAAATTCAACTAAATAGTTGTATCCATGAATTCAAACACATACATGCTTCAATTGCACTATCTCCCAACCTATTTCTTCTTTTATTAATCAATTCACCAGATTTGGAAAAAGCTTGTTCACTTGGGACAGATGTAGAAGGTATACCTATATAATCACGTGCAATTTTGGATAAAAGTGGATAATGTAACTTGTGATTTCTCCACCATTCACAGGGATTAATATTTGAAGGTTCTAATGGAATTATTAAATATTCATTAATCTCATTACGTGATTGTGAATTATTGGATTTTTTCTTTTTTTGAAGCATATGATCTAAAAGTCCAATAGATTTTCTTTTATTTCCTTCTAAAGTATCATTATTATCTTCATCAAATAGTTTTTCCAAATCTTGATAATTATTAAATTTATCTATAAGCATCTGTTTTAAGTCTTCTTCATTAATATTATCAGGAAGTATTCGTGTCTTATAGCAAGGATCTAATACTAAAGCCAAATAAGCACTTGTATTATAAAGATTTCCTAATATAGAATTAAATTTGTCATTCATTTCTTGAGCAACTTCTTTTACCAATTTTATTTTGGTTTTATGTATAGTTGTTGTTATATAATCAGACAAATGATCCAAAAGAAGTAATAATGTTCCAAGAGTAGGATAATTGGATCCAGACATTACTTCTGTAAAATCAAAAAATGGCTTTAAAAAACTGCAAAAATGTTCAATTTCCTTCCATTCACTTTCTGATAGATCCAATTTAACAAAATCTTTATTTAAGGATAATACAGAAGTAATTATTAATTTGTTTGTAAGAAAAGATTCCAACATAGAATATGTGCTATTCCATCTGGTTCTGACATCACGTATTAATTTCTTATAATTGACTTGCAATTTCTCTGCCAAATCTAACAATTCTTGTTCTTTTTTTGGTGATCTTCTTATTTCTACAACAAAAGCTCTTACCTTATCAATAACAGGTTGTAATTTTTTTAATCCAGCATTTACTACAAGAGCAACTGTATGAGCACCACACCTAATTATATTGAAATTTACTTGCAATTCACTTGAAAGGTTTGTAGAAAGTAAATTCATTCCTGCAACTTGATTAACTCCATTATCAATAGTAATTGTAGAGGCTTTTGTTGTAATAGAAAATTCTTGAAAAATTTTCAAAGTTGCTTCTTTAATTTGTTCACCAGTGTAAGGGTGAGGAAATCTTTGAAAAGCAATTACTGTATGTTTCAAATCCCATTTATCATCAATCCAATGTGCAGTAAGGACCATATATGGAGCACCAGTATCAGATGTCCACATATCAGATGTAAATGAAATTTTTGAATCATTTTCCTAAATAATTAAACAATTTAAGTAATGATAATAATTTTAAATAATCCATCATAAAATAAACTTACCTGAAATAATTTTATAATATCTTTTTTATATTGACCATATTTTTCACCAATTTTTTTACGAAGAGTTTGTCTTGAAAAAATTTGAAATCTAGGATTAAGGCTTGTAATAAATTTTTTAAAATGGAGATTATCAACAACTCTAAATGGCTGGCAATCTGCAATCACCCAATTTAAAAGATTATTTAAAATATCTAAATATTCTTACCCTTGTAATTTTGCATATGTTGTTTGAGCCCTACTAAATGCAACTTCAATTGATCCTGCTCCTCCAGGTTGAACCTTTGAATGCTTTTTTTCCCAATGATCATTGAGAGTAGTTGTGGAAGATTTTGAACTATAACTTTGATTACAATAATTACATTTAATACTTATACGATTACCATTTTCATCACAAATTTTTTCAAAATGCTGCCAAACTGTGCTTGGTGCACGAGTTGGAGGTATATTCTTCAGTTTCTTTTCTAATGAATGTAGCGAAACCTCTTCATCAGTCCTTTCTTCCTGCATCTCCTGCATATAATCATCATCATTAATTATTTGAACAATTGGTTCTAATATACAATCCCCAATTGTCAAATCCCTTTCATTTTCACGATCATTATCCTTTTCTAGATTATCACTCATAATGAAAAATTGGAATGGGTTAGATTTTTCTGGATTCTGAAAATTTGAATTATGAAATTAGATAATCAAAGTTTCTTCTATTTTTGATTTCAGTCATTTCACTTTTTAAATCTCTACTAACCTTCTCTTTTCATTTTTTTTTTGTATTTTTCTTTTTAGGAACGTCCAAAACACTCAGAATAGTTTCTTTTGATCGAAATTCGCCTAGAAACTCCGGAATTTAGGTAAGTTAATTCTTTTTTTTCTTTTATTTTCATTATTTAAGATAAATAGTTAAATACTAACCTTTCCTTTTGTATTTTTCTTTTTAGAAACGTCCGGAACGCTCAGAATGGTTTCTTTTGATCGAAATTCGCCTAGAAACTCCGGAATTTAGGTAAGTTATTTCTTTTTTTTTCTTTTGTTTTCATTATTTAAGATAAACATTAACCTTATTGTTTTTTTTCGCTATATTTCTTTTAGGAACGCGTAGAACGGTCTTGGCTCTTGACTTCGTTGAAAATTGTTGAAAGTTAGGGGTTAAGCAAAACACTTAGGCGTTCCATCTTTACCACTTTGGCTTGGAGCCTTGGACGCTTGGATACTTGAAAAAAAAAAATGTGGCTTAAAAAAATAATCACCGATCAG